CGCACCTTAACTAAATGCGGCATTCAGAGAGGGACACTGATAGTAATTCAGTGTTAAGTGCTACAAGCAGGTAGGTAGAGTACAACAACACGTACAGTGTATACTGCACAGTAATCCCTCATAGAGTATGAAAGATCACAACACACAATATTCACCAAAGTGGAGTAATGAGTTTATATCAAAAGCAATGTAGAAAGACATCCTTATATATTGGTGCTTGGAATAATGAATGCAATTACACTTTGTTTCTGATAGATTTTTTAATCAAGGATGTTATTGTTGGTAAGTGCCATCCAGTCGGTCACAACTCATAGTGATCCTGTATAAGGTTTCTGAAGTAAAGACTGTTGACTTTGAACCACCAGTTTTGCAGTCAACCTTACCTTATGGCTGAGTGCTTTTTGAGTGCCACACCAGCACTAGAGGAACCAATAACATGGGAAAGAGGATGAGAATCTATTTCCTCCAATTAAGTAGAATTGAAACAAGCACAGATTAATCATTTCAAGAGGAAAAGCTTAGTTTTGAATATTGTAAATTTTTACTTACTATGTTCCAGTATAGAATATTCAGACAAAAGTATAATTACAGCTGGTAGTGGTGATGGGCTGTGGAGTCGGTTGTGACTTATAGAGGCAGCAAGATGCAGCTTTCTGCTCTCTTAAAGATTTATAGCCTCAGAAACTCTATTAATTTACATGTTTTGCAACTGTTTAATAGAACTTCCTGTAATGATGGAAATGTTCTTTTGTTCTGTCCAGTGTGGTAGCCACTAGCCACGTGTATCTATTGAATACTTAGTGTGGTAACTGAGTCTGAAAAACTGAATCTTATGTTTTGTTTAATTTTAGTTAAATTAGATTAAAATAGCTACATCATTTTCCTACCTTAGTCATTGTAGTCCTTATATTTAATTGTTTAATTATTACTTTTCTTTCCACTCTCTCCATACAACTCTGAAGGTCCCTGTTGTTGGTGTTGTTGTTGTTAAGTACTGTGGAGTCGGTTCCGACTCATAGTGAC